GGGTCCTGGGATCGAGCCCCGCGTCGGGCTCCCTGCTGCGCAGGGAGCCTGCTTCTCCCTCTGCCTCTGCCTCTCTCTCTCTCTCTCTCTGACTCTCATGAATAAATAAATAAAACATTTAAAAAATAAATAAATAAATCTGATAGCAGAGCTGTGGTGGGGCCAGGGGGTACAGTCGCCTGTCTAGTGGGGAACAGGGACCTAAATTGCTGTCAGTTCCCCGGAGTGCGGCCTGGACAGCAGTCTGCTGGGAAAGTGGAGGACTAGAAGCTCAGTGTGAGCACGTGGCCAGAGCGGATAGGGAGGGGGAGAGAGAGAACTTTCTGGGGGCTCTGCACACGTTCAGTTGTGATCGCGCCAGACGGAGGGCTGGCAGATGAGCTCAGAGAGCCTGCAGAGGACAGGGGCACACACGAGGGTAAGTGTTGGGGGGAGATTTGGGGTGGGGGGGAGGAAAACAACATCAGGGCCAAAACACTCGGCAAAAGATATGCCATAAGTGATAGCAAAAACTGAGAAAAAGGTCATTAAATTATCAACAAGGGTTTAAAAACACCTGCGAACTCATGTATGCACCCATTGGGTGTCCAATTGCCCCTCTGCTCTCCGGCTCAGGGGATCCTCTACAAAGCCACAGGGACTGGCTGACAGCAGACCCTCGCAGCACAAAATCTTGGGGAGCCTTGTCAACCACCTACCTGGTCCAGAGTTCTTGCTCAGCAGTCGTCTCCATGCTCGTAACTACATCTCCTCTGATGTGGTGGCCCGGAGGATTTTTCCCCTGTCCAAGCTGGGAGGAGGGATCCCTTCGAGGATGTTCAAGGACCACCCAACCCTGAGTGAGATGGGCAGGCGTCAGGATGATGACACCTCCACGGGTCAGGCGCAGAGCTTTACACATACCCTTGCCAAACCTCATCACATCTGTATAAAAGAAGGAAAGTTACCCCACGTTACAGGGAGGAATCTGAGTCTCAGAAAGGGTAGCTCACATACCTAAGGGAAAACATTTAGGAACGGACAAAGTAAGGATTCAAGCTCAGGTCCGCCTGACTCAGAAGCCCATGTGCCAGCACAATCTCGAATACACCCCCTAGCAAGGCTGCATTTTGTGAGCGGCCCCTCTGGGGTGACTTTGCAGGGACTGGCAGAGAGGATGGGGAGACTAGGATGGAGGAGGAGGTCGTTCTGCCAAGAAGACTTGAGACCCAATCCTGACCAGGGCCACTGAGGCAGGAGGCTGCATGGGTGCCATGTGGAGGTGGCTTCAGGATGAGGTCTCTAACAACCTGTGGACGGCTGAGTTGATTAAGTTAATCAGCGAGTTGATGAAAGGCAAACAAGGATCAGCAGCTGGAAATATTGGACGGTGCTGAAGGGCATCGATGTACAAACTTTGGTGTTAGACTTTGGACAAGTTATTTAAACTCTGTGAGCCTCAGTTTCCTTATCTGCAAAACAGGGATAATGGCATTTACCCTCATAGGACTTTTGCAATGGTTGAAGGACTGACAGGAATAAACTGGTTTGCACAGTGCTAGGCACATACAGGGAACCCTCAACCGCTCGTGCCATTCTTATCATGATCATTCTTATTGCTATAGTATCGGGATGGTAGCCCATCTGCCTAAGTAACTCCTGGAAACTGGTATGGTTCCTTTCATTCCTCTACCAGGCCCTCTGACTATCCTCTTGTGATTCATTTTTCTCTTTCAGGGTAACCTAGGAGCTTATTTTCGCCTTATTTTACCAGGACAAAATGTTGGAAGGAGATTTCCCTGAAGTTCAGAACTGTAATCATGAACCCCGACCTCTGGCCTCCCTCCTAGGCCCCTGACACACACAGCCTGAGCTAAGACAGGGGACCCTGTGGTTTCGTAGGTGTCCAGTAGGGGGAGCCAGCGAGTCGTGGCTGCCTTGGGGACCTCGGACAAGAGCTATCAGCAATTCCAGGAGGCGGGAGGTCCAGATAAAAGACCATGACATCTGCACAGCTCTCTGTGGGTTGTGTGGTTTTTGCTTTTATTTTTGTTTTGTTTTTCTTTAATTCTGCGCTCCAGGAAGTGCACCTGAGTTAGTTAGATTCCTGCCATCACTGAGCAAGCCACAAATACTGAATTTTAAGAAGAATGGGGAAAGAAATGGATTTTTCACTTGAATTTTAGATTACTCTGCTGTGGAATGTTTGCCTCCCGTCCATTCAAAGGCAGCAGTGTTTGTCCTGGGATCTTCACCTGGAAAGAAGGACATTTCGGGGAAACATTTATATGTTTGTTTCCTCCTTACTGGGAAAAAGGGCAGGTGGGTTTCCAGAACATGAACTGTGTTCCCCTTGCTCTCCCCACCCTCACACCACACCCCTCAGGACTTTGCTGGATTCTTACGTCTGGGCAGAAGCTGTGTGGAGTCTAAGAGAAAATGAGAAATTTCCACGCTGGGAGCAGTCCCTTTGCTCTGCGAGTCTACTGTGTAGCAACTTGACCCTCAGTTTTTTGTTTTAAGTGATACTATGTTGATCTTTTTTAGTTACAAATATTCTCCAAAATATTTCAGGGTGAGAGTAGTTTCCAGAACAGCGAGGGGAAGTAAAGATGAACTTGCAGGATTGTCCCTGGGTACAGACCTTGGAACAATGTAGAAAGACGGCAAAGCTCCTGGCACCAAATCAAGAACGAGGGGGGGGGGCAGGGGGGATGGAGAAGGAGAGGGAGAGAAACATCAGCAGAGAGAGACAGAGAGAGGAAGAGAGACAGACAGACAGCAGGTGCAGGACAGGGGACTGGTCCTCGGCAATGCTTTGGCCGGAGCTCCTGAAGTGGGAGGAGAAAGCCGAGGGCACGGGTATGCCGAGCGGGGTTCTGTGTATAAAACTGTTAGGTGCCTCCTCCCAGCACTATCTGCTCCTAAGCACCCTGCCTTTTACGAGAGCCCAGCAGCACTTTATCAGCCAGTGCCTTCTGCCGCCGGGCAACCAGCCGGAGCGTGAGTACCCTCCTCAATTCTATTCATTTCCAACTGTCCACTGTTGCCAGTTTGTCTGCTTACTCCTAATTGTTCTTCTTTTTTAATGGAGAAATATGCCTCAGATGGTTGCAACTGAGTAGAAGCAGCAAAGCCAGAGTCCTGGGAGGCAGGAAAGCAATTTCCCAAAGCCGTGGGCTTCTTCCTAGAAGCCTGCAAGCCGTGTCTTTGCTCACGATCTCTGAAACCGGGTGGGAGCAGCACCTGAGCTCCGTGTGCAAGAGGGGTTCGAGCAAGGAGTCCACTTTATGTGCCAAATGCCTCGGGGTTCATCAGTGCTGGAGAGGAGTTTCAAACTGTGTTTGTGAAATAATTGACTGAAGTTGGAGACATATCAATATGACTCCAAAAAAGCGGGGTTTGGGGAATGGCCCTTTCCAAATATGGCTCTGCACCCCGCCCTGAGTGTGCCGTCTTGCTGAAGGGAGTGTGCTTGCTACCCACCGGGAGAACCTGGTGTCCACCCCTGGCAGCTTCTTTGCAGCCGCATTTTCTGGTGTGGAATTCATACCCCAAGGCTTCTAGGAGTGGTGCCTTCTGAGGACAGAAGTGTTTTCATCAGGAGATAGGAATACCCAACAGCCCTGTCTTTGTTTCTGATTAAAGAAAATTAAGCACCTCCTACGCTTGGAACCAAAACCCACCCAAAATAAAGATTATCGTAAGTACCAAATAAATGTCAATGCTTAAATTCTCTTTATGATAGAGCATGAATGTTTAAATGTTTTCCTCTATATCTGTATCCAAAACTTTGTATTATTTTTTAAAGTGATACTTGAGCCACAGAACATTGAAGACTTTCGGGTCTCTCCAACTGCACAGATTTCTAATGTACGCTGAGTTTTATTGCATGTAATCAAATAGGGAATGTTGGTTGAATTGAAATCTTGATATTGCCTCGCATTAGAATAAGTACTGCTTCGTTTCACGAGTGATTTGGGTTATGAAAGGTGCTTTCTGACTCCTGCTGGAAAGCTCACCAGGTGCAGCTTCTAGAATATTCCTGGGATGTTCACTTTAGCACATACAGGTTTGTTGTGGATGTGTCAGTGATACAAAAGAATGAGGCTCACTTTGAGGTACACGTCTGTTTGTCAGAAGAGTTCCTGCTTCCAGCTAGGGCATAAGGTGAAAGTGGGGGTGACGGGGCCCTTGGTTGTTGTTCGCCCCCACCCCAGGGTTATTTCAAGCCAGCCATGAAGACAGCCTGTGTGCGCTATGTCACTGAGCCCTGACGCACACTGCAGACCCCATCACTCAGGAGCTGCTCCTTCACTGTTTGCTTGAATAGAATCTCAGGTGGCATTAATGTGCCTGGCTCCAAGAAGACAAAGAACCACCATTGCTTTCCTATTGCATAAAGCTCACTCTGCTGAGGAGACTTGGATGGTCCCCACTCTGAACCTCAGTTTTCTCTTCTATAAAGTGAAGGCTTAAATTGTGTGCTCTTTACAACCTCACCTAGCTCTCAAATGTTTCTCTCTGGGCTCTAAGAAAATATGATGGTGAGCTCAAGGATATTGTCCTCCTAGATGTGTGTGATTTGGGTGGCGGGGGGAAAGAGGGGTATGCAGGGGCCAAAGGGGTAAACACCTACATGGAGGGAACATGACAGTCCCTGCTTGTCTCTTTCTTCTTTCTTCTTCTTCTTCTTTTTTTTTTTTTAACTGCAAATAAGATGAGAGTCCTACCACTGGTTTTTCTTAATGCTGTTCTTTATCAAACAAACAAACAAAAATACATAATGCAACCCACAGACACTTCTGTTGGTACTTAACTAGCCAGATAATTTAACCATGGATAAACACACACACACACCTTTTTTTTCTGAGACATGTCAATAGTATTTCCCACAATTGTGGATTTTTCAAATCAAACGAGTAGAAGAAAGTAAAAATTAAATAAAGGAGGGACAAAAAAAATACCACATACACACAACTTTTCTGGAACTTCTGAAAGAAGAATGATATCCTTGGATGCAGTGGACCTTTTTTTTTTTTAAATAAAACTTACAAAAAGTTGCCACACCTGTTGAATTCAACTAAGAATTGTTTTTTATTAACAAGGTGATATCCAATATTTAACAATTCTTATTCTGATACAAGAAAAAATGCCATTCAGCAGGATCTCAGACTGGGCTCTTGCTGTGCATTAAGAGTGTGGCTTTTATCTTATTTCAGAAAATAGAGCCCACTCCATGCCTTCTTCTCCTATTTGTAAAGAACAAGGCTGAGGGAAATTGTTGCATTGGTATGGGTCCCCTAACAGGGGGTTGCCTGAAGCATGTCAGAGCCTGAAGCCCACCCCTCCCTCTGGACAGGCTTCAGATCGGCAACCTCCCGCTGGTAGAGAAACGCAGCAGAACAAAATCTGTGTGTTGGTCTCTGTGCAGGATGGTTTGCTATCATTTTTTCCTTTTATTTAAGCAAAGTAAAATGAACGTTCTGTGTCTGTAGTCAGCTCACTGTCTCTCCTTGCCAATGGAGAAGCCTGCCTTCTCCGTTGGAGGTCTCCATCTGGGGCCACAGCTCTGCTCCCCAGGACCACACCGGGGGCACTCCTGCCTCACTCCATCCTGCATGCCGCGTGCTCATCCTGCTGATTCACGTCTTTTTGCCCTTTGTCAAGTATGGAGAGAGAGGAAGGATGAATGGACAGTCTTTGGTTGCCGGCGCTGGTGATGCCCCTCGTGGTCCTCTTTGGAAGGACCCTTGTGGAGATAAGGCTGGGGAGGCTGCGCTCAGAGGCTTCACCTGGCTCAGCATGGCCCCAGCACAGGGGCCCCCGGATCAGGTATGCTCCCTCGGTGCAACCTCTGTCTTGGAGAATGTGGGCGCCTGCGCTCCAAGCTCTGGTGTGTCTCTTCGGAACAGAGCCCAGGAAGTGGGGTCCTCATGCTCTGCTGAGGGGCAGCGGGATGCACGGGAGTCTTGGTCCTGAAAGTCACACGGCCCTCAACTTGGGTAAGACTGAACTACTGAGTTTTGAGAACAGTGGAAAAGCTAGGAAAAAGGAGTCTGGGGTTTTAATCTTACCCTGTTGCTACTTATTTAGAGCTTCTTCCCTTTATTTTCTTGTCTTTTTAGTTAAATTTAATGGCCGACTTAGATTTGAGGAATCTGAGCATCAGTAGAAGTCCCCGGCTGCATTGCCTTCCTGATCAGAATTCTTAAAAGTTCTCCAAAGAACTGCAAATCGTCACACGTGATAAAATTCTAGGGTGAACTACAACCTTGAAGTTACTGGTTTCTCATAACCAGTTCTCCTGCCTGAGTTCTGGAGCAAGTCTTCAGGATCTGAAGGGCTCTGGAAGTGTTCAGTAGTTCAGAATAAATGGTTCGTGGGCGGGGTCTGCCACAGCACTGTCTGCTTACCCTGGGAGAGGAGCCCTCTCTCTCGGGCATGGTACCCTGACAAACCATCCCAACACGCAGGTACTAGGGAGACAAATCACAATAAGCCTTCTTCTATATGCTGGGCTGTGGACTCCCGACAGAAATAACTCAGTCTTCCGCTCTGGGAGGCCCGGCAAGGAGCTCAGGCCAAGCAGGTTCTAGATCACGTCTGACCAGGTGTAGCATCAGGTTTGGCATCTGTATCTCCAAAATCCCTGAGCTGATGGTGTATTTAAAACCCTCTAAAATAAGTAAATATATGTCGGAAATTTCGAGAACATGAATTTGTTCACCCTGAAATAACCTATACACTTTACTGTTTCTGTAGTTGATGGAAAAACTGGAATGTTTTCATTCAATGCTGCCTCTGCAGGAACAGATCTACTCAGTTATAGAAACTCAAAGCAATTGTGTCTGAGCCTCTTGCCGTTGCCTGGGGTGAAACCTGATGCCTCTCATAAATTGGTCCTGCTTTACAAATGGGTCACTGGAGCTGAGGAAGGAGCTTACTGAGCAATGTTGTCAGTTATGAGATTTAAAGAGGAAGATATATGAAAATAAATGATAGCTATCATTAGCTATTATTTATAAAATAAAAGGTAGTTTTTCATAATTGCTTAAAATTCGAATCATTTTCCATGTTTCACTATGGGTCCAGCTGAGCTCCCTACAGACTAAGTTTTGGTTCCTGACCTCCAGCAGTTTTCAATTTAAGAATTTCTTAATGCCGGGGCGCCTGGATGGCTCAGGTGGTTAAGCATCTGCCTTCGATTCAGGTGATGATCCCAGAGTCCTAGGATCGAGCCCCACGTCGGGCGCCCAGCTCACCCGAGAGTCTGCTTGTCCTTCTGCCCCTCCCCCAGCTCATGTTCACACTGACGCTCTCTCTCTCTCTCCCCCTCAAATAATAAAATAAAAATAAAATCTTAAAAAAAAAGAATTTCTTAATGCCAAGGTTCATGGGCAATCTCACAAGTGCAGGTGTCTAACACCGTTTTGCCAAGACGAAATGAGCTTGGTCTAGAATTCATTGCATAAATAGCTTCTGCTTTGTGTAATGATTAATGGTTGGCCATTGTTTAAAAGCAGGCCACTTAGTTGGGTGGTGAAATAATACAATTGAAGTATGGTGGCTACTCGATAGAAAAATCAGTTACCCACATTGATTTTTGTACTGGGATTAACAGAAGCCCAAACTAGAGTCAGGATTGCAAGAACTAAACATTTTAAAAAGGCATAACTTTATTATCTTTTAATAGGTGTTTGTTGGCTATGATTAACGCAACAAGGATGGGGCCAAAACTATCTGTGAGAACCCCTTACTCACAGCCTGGCCACAGGGAGAAGCTGAGCTGGTTTGTCTGCATAGATTTGGGGTATTCCCTTGGTGGTGTGCTCTATGCCTGTGAATTCAGCTTTCCACTGGTGCCTTCTGGGGTCGGAGAGTTTTGATGCTTCCCTACTCCACACGTACCTGGATGTGCTCTTGGCATTGCTTGCATGCTCAAGGTGGTTTGCCAATGTCTTTCTCCCTTTGCCTCCCTCTGGGATGACATCATTGATATTCTTCTTTTGTGTCTACCATTGGCACTGTGAAAACTTCATTTTTGTCTAGAGGGTACCATTCTGGTGATGTTGGTGCTTTCCCATCACACAGTTATCATGAGAAGTGAAGAGTCTTGTAGTGAACACAAGTCACGGTCATATTAGTATTTTTCTGAGGCATGCTTACTGTAACCGTGCCTTACATATTCTTATATTGTACAATTCTTAGGTTACAGCTTTTTGGTTTTCAATAGCTTCGTTCACTTTTACCTTTTCTAGTTTCTATACCTTATAGAATATTATTCATGACTGTTTCTGAAACATTTAAATAACCAATTGCAAAAATAAAGAATATCTGAGGCAGTTGCCCAATGTGGGGACATATTCAAGCAACCTTTAACTTGGAGAGTGTCTATGAGGGGCTTTACTTAGGCTGTGTCAGCACACAGAGATCGTTTTGTAAATAATTCTGCCCTGCCAAACCTTTAAAAACAAAAACATTTTTGTAAAATAGAAACTTAATTTAAAAAGGCTGCTCAGGACTTCTGGGGAAGATGGTGAAGTAGGAGGACCCTAAGCTCACCTCGTCCCATGGATACAACTAGATAACACTCACATCAGTGTAAAGAACCCAGAAAACGATCCAAAGACTGGCAGAACAAACTCCACAACTAAAGGTAGAGAAGAGGTCACATCGAAGGGGGTAGAAAGGGCGAAGATGTGGTCAGAAGCCAACAGACCCACAGGTTGGTCCACATCAGGAGGGAGCTGCGCGCATGGAGAGGGGAGAGAAACAGACCCCCACACCAGGGAACCCACACTGGGAGGACGAATCCCCATAACAACTGGCTTTGAAAACCAGAGGGACTGAAATTCATGAGTTCTCACAACCAGCAGGACTTAAAACCTGAAATTTAAAAAATCAGTGGGCTTGGCTCTAGGAGAGCAGAGAGGGAGAGAGGAAACTGAGACCCCGGGCTCGCTTAAAGAGACAGCACAACAAACAGCCCCGTGGGGACACAGCATAAAAACAGCACTTCGAAAAATGCCTGGGGCGTACAGGGGGGAGGGTTATTTACTCATCTCAGAGCCTGTCCTGGAGGGACAGAGACCATTGGGGGACTCCTCCAGGAAGAAAGGAGCTGGCAGGCACCATTTCCTCCCATGGCCCCCAGCATAAGCACACAGACACCTGCAGGAGGAACCAGTGTTGCTGATAGTCTCTACCGAACTTGCTAATACTGCTTCCCCACTGCTCCGCCCCCTGCAGACAAACCTGCCCCAGTCCCAGCACCGCAGAGGGGCCCCTTTTGCTCAGAGCCAATTCAGGACAGTGCCACAGGCTTAGCAGGGTGCAAGCAGCCCCAGCAGGGACCAGCACCACTCCAAAGTGAGTCCTGTCCCAGGGATAGGGGAAGAGAACGATGTACACCAGTCAGACTGCAGCCCCCACAGTGGGCTCGGGGAAGACATCAAGCCTGACTGCAGGCCCTGCCCACCAACAAAAGCTTCTCAGAAGACAAGACAGGGAGAACAGCCTGCGGTTCGGTGCTGCTGTATCTCTGGCAAACGCCTGGCCTGACTCAGCTCAAACCCAAGGCATCGAAGATTAGCCCACTGTTAATGCCAAGATCAAAGCCTGCCCACAAGAGGCAAAGAAGGTCACTGCAGATGACTGGACTGAAGGAAAAAGCAGCTCAGTCACAACAGCTGTGTGCACAACACACACAGAAGACACCCCCGGAGCACCAGGTTCTGGTGAACATTGCAGGACACTACAGAACCTCTTCTTCGTAAGGTCATTGCTTTCCAGTGCGGGAGACACAGCTGACTTTCCTAACACAGAGAAACCGAAGCAGAGACTTAGACAAAATGAGGAGACAGAGGAATATGTCCCAAATGAAAGAACAGGACAAAATCACAGCAAGAGATCTAAATGAAATGGAGATAAATAATGTGCCTGATAGAGAATTTAAAGAAATGATCATAAAGATACTCGCTGGACTTGAGGAAAGAATGGAGGACATCAGTGAGACCCTTAATGATGAGATAAAAAAAAGAACCAATCAAAGATGAGAACATAATAAATGAAATTAAAAATACACTAGATGGAATAAATAGAAGACTGGAGGAAGCAGAAGAATGAATCAGTGACCTAGAGGACAGAGTAAAGGAAAGCAATCAAGCTAAGCAGGTAAAAGGGAAAAAAAAATAAGCAAAAATGAGAATAGACTTAGGGAACTCAGCAACACCATCAAGCATAATAACATTCACGTTATAGGGATCCAGAAGAAGAAGAGAAAGAAAGGGGGACAGAAAATTTATTTGAAGAAATAATAGCTGAAACATTCCCAAATCTAGAGAAGGAAACAGAAATCCAGATCCAGGACGCACAGAGAGCCCCCAACAAAATCAAACCAAGGAGGTTCCCACCATGACACACAGTAATTAAAATGGCAAAAAGTAGTGATAGAGGATTTTATAAGCAGCAAGAGAAAACACATACAAGGGAAACCTCATATGGCTATCAGCTGATTTTTCAATAGAAACTTTGCAGGCCAGAAGAGAGTGGCATCACGTATTCAAAGTGCTGAAAGGAAAAAAAATCTGCAGCCAATAAATACAAGGCTATCATTCAGAGTAGAAGGAGAGAGAAAGAGCTTCTGAGACAAACAAAAGTTAAAGGAATTCATGACCACTAAACCAGCCCTACAAGAAATATTAAAGGAGACTCTTTGAGTGAAAAGGAAGGACCATAAGCAAGAGAAAGGAAAGTAAGAAGCACAAAAGCAGTAAACATAAATATATCTGTAAAAATCAGTCAAAGGATTCACAAAATAAAAGGATGTAACG